TTCTTTTTATGTCACCATTTCCTGTTTCTTGCCTGAACCCTCAGGCACAGTTGAGCTCAAATTTAAATTCCCAGAAGTTAATTTATCAAGGCCACTCAAGATTGTCTGAGCAACAACAACAAAAAATAAATAAACAAAAAGAAAAAAGACAGAGAGAAAACAAAAAGAAAGAAAGGAGAGAGAGAGGAGAGAAAGAAATATTTTTTAAAAAGAACGACATAAATACAAACAGGAACTGTTCGGGAAGAGGAACCAGTGGAAATGGAGCACTGAAGAAGGGGAAATGTGGTAGGGGGGAGGGGATTATGATCAAACCACTTTATTTGCATGTATCAAAACAGAATGAACCCCATGAAAAACTGCTTCAAAAGACAAGAAGGACAGAAAAGAACAATAGAGGTGACTAATTCAATGTAAATTTTCTTTTGTTTTGTTGGTCATGGGTCTTGAACTTGGGTACCAGGTGCTATCCTTAAGACTTTTTCTCTTGGCTAGAGCTCTAACCACTCTGAGCTACAGCTCCACTTCTGGTTTTCTGGTGGTTAACTGGAGATAAGAGTCTTATGGACTTTCTTGTCTGGGCTGGCTTTGAACTGCGATCTTGAGATCTCAGCCTCCTGAGTAGCTAGGATTACAGGTATGAGCCACCAGCACTAAGCATGGCATGTATGGAATGATCACAGTGAAATCCTTCAGTATAATTTACAATAATATAAAAAATATCTGACAAGATACAAGTACATTAAAAGACAAAAAATATTTTTTGGTTTTGTTTTTGAGGCAAGGACTTGGCTCTCTAGACCAGACTGTACTGGAACTTAAAATTATCTTCACTTTTGCTGCCTTAAAGAGATATGTTATCTTCCTCTAGTGTTTTTCGTTGTTGTTGTTGTTTTGGTTTGTTTTTCCCCCAATGAAATTGCCAACATTTTTCTTTGGTACAGAAAAACAATGAGTTATCCTTTTACACTGAAATAAAAGTCAAAAAAATAATATTTCAATACTCTTTTCCCTATCTAATGGTTATTTTTCATACTGTTAATGATAATACAAGCATGGACATATTTTCCGATTTCTATACCATCTTGGAATTTCTATTCTCATTTCTTTCAGAGATTTTTATTTATAAACTTGTTTCTTCATATAGCACAATCTGCTTCCCTGGTTTTTTTCTTAAAGCCTCATTCTTTTACCCAGACTCCTAGGATTTAAATAGTTTAGAACTTTAAAATGGTGCAATAGTCATTTTTCCAAATAAATATATTTTTGAAACTCCTTCAATCTTTAATTTCTAGAGAACTGAAAAATTTCTCAAATTACAGAAAATAATCTGTGTTGAGTATTATCAGTATTATCAGTATTATCAGACTTACAGTAAATGTACATCATAATATGTAAAAGAACAAAGGTAAACATTCCCTTAAGAAAACTATCTGATTTCTACATTCCTTCAAACATCTCTGGTTTTAAACACTTCTCTTTTTTTCCCCCTCTGCATCCTCATGTGTTAGAAACAGTAAAACATACCTAGAAATATTTGTGAACTTGAAACTTCTACTAAAAACACAGAAATTCTTTCTTGGAGATCAAACCAGTAGTCAAAACATAATGCATTTTTCTAAAGTTTACCCTGGCTAAGAAGTTTAAGTGAGCCTACTTAATTACACGGCAACTAAAGTTGTAGCATACTAATCCAAACAAATATAGCTCATTGAGATCAAGGTCATAGTCATAAGCCAAATGGTGTACATAGCTTTTGGCCTTTTCTGCTTATCCTACACATGTATTATTATTGCAAACAAGGGAAACCATGGGACCTAAGTTTCTCTGGGCCTGGCTTACTTCACTTAATATAATTTTTTCCAAGTCTTTCCATTTCCTAACGAATGGGGCAATGTCATTCTTTCTGATGGAGTACTTATAATGCACTATTTGATTCTTCTGTTTCTTTTGTATGTTCTTCCCCCATTGTATAACCCTTGTTTTCACTGTATTTGATTCTGGTGTGCTGCATCATATATACATTTTTGTAATTTTGGGAGGAGATGAGGTATAGCAGAATGCTTAAATTGGGATGCAGGTTGACCCATTGTGATGATGAGATGTACAGGACCCTATGTTGAAAAGGAACTTTACAATGTCGGGGGCGGGGAAGGGAGGAGTTGAGGAAGTGGGGAAGGAAGTGATGGCAATGGAAAAACAAAGGAGGAGGTAACAATGCTCAATAGGAAATGTATTCATTATCTTACTCATGCAACTAACTGTAACCCCTGTACCATATTTTTTGCAATAACATATATATATATATATATATATATATATATATATATATAAAAATTAAAAAGTGGCATTGACTCCTTTGCTTTTGAGAACACATATCCATTCCCTGGGGTTATCAAGCTGTGAAACTAACTTAAGACACAAGTCAAAGAGACAATAGAAGAAGATTTTAAAGTGTCAATGGAAAAAACAAATAACTGTAAGCACTAAGCTGACTCAAAAAGCTAAATTGCTTCGAGTATCTGTGTATCAGTCAAAAGTCTCAGCAAGTGTCTCAATGCAATTGTTGTCTACTTATTTAATAGATAGAATGGGTGAGGGATTTCATAGAAGTTAGTAAGAAGGCAAGGAGAATGCTACTGTATAAATTGCTGCTGCTGCTGTTTTTATGAGCAGAGACAATTCATCCACATAGAAGACCCTACTCCTTCACTTCCATGGGTAACTTCCTGAGACCCAAATCTCCTTACCTGTCATTAAAAATGGATCATATTTTATTATTCTCTTAACCAATTACCTCAGATCTAGAAACTTAACAAACAATATAACTATGTTGTTTACGCTTCTGGAAATCCGCTGTTTAAAGCAAGTAACCATTTTGACATTAAGTTGTCAGCAAGATTATCTTCCTTCTGAGGCTCTAAGCTTTCCTTGCTTTCCACAGACTGCATGAATGCCTTAGGTCTTCCTTGTCTCATGTCTTCATGCCTCTCCAAAGCTATCAATGACCATTCATCAAATCTTTTTCACATTTCGTCATTCTGGCTCTCACTCGCCCTGCTCACTGCACTGTCACATCAGTGGGATCTAGGACACTTCAAGATGCTCTCCCCCAACTTGAGATCAGCAGACTCAACTACCTTAATTCTATCTAAAGCTTCCATTCCCAACTTGCTTTATAGCCTAGAATATTTACAGGTTCTGGGAACTACAGACAAGGCCATTATTCTGCTTACCACAGACCTCATAAGGTTCTTGTGTGGAACAAATGAAAAAGGGAACATACAAATGCATGCATGCTACCTATAAGAAATACCCAATAAACATTATTTAAACATTAACATTCTTGACATTAAATAAAACATTATACAAATATTTATAAAGTGGATGTAAATCACGAATTCTAATTCAATTGAGCAAATCCAAACTAAACAGGATCTACATATTGACTATTTATTAGGCATTTAAACAAATATTCCTATTTGTGCCCATTGCATTTTGAAGCTTTCCATTTATATCTTTTACAATTCAGCTTCAGTCATTTTATAGATTGAAAGCATCAGCCATATACTGGCTTTTCATACAATCATTGTTTCAGCAGTGACAACCAGCGTCTACTGGGGGAAACTGTTGATTTGCTGGAGTTGGCACAAAGACACAGCCATTAAGCAAGCAGGACACGTCTCCAAAGACAAGTCACAGACATATAACATCAAATAGGAACCTCTAAGGAGAAAATCGGGAGCTCTGCTGCTTTCCATTATGTGCCATTCAGTGCTGAGATCTAAATTGCTCCTGATTTTCCATCTTTTAATCACTTCACACAAGTTAAGTGTCCTTGGGAGACACTGCAGAGGGTAGCAAATATCTCATTCCATTGATTCTAAATTAATCTGATTTTTAACTCCCAGCTACTGAATTTCCCAGGCACCTTAAAAAGAAAAAAATCTTGTAGTGATTATTTCTTTTTCTTTTTCACAAAGAAAACCTGACAATAGAAGCTGTGGTTTGGGGCAAAAATATATAGAACACTTATTTCCACAAAGTGGAAAAATTTGGCCATATACAATAATTTCTTAGATAGAAGTATAGACACTGCAAAGAATGGAAATAGGAATTTACCTTGAGGACTTTGTCTAATACTATTCAAGACATGGGCACAAGCCTTCAAAGAACATCATCTTTTGCCTATGCTATCTTTTCTCTGAAGACTATGAGCAGTAAATTTTTAATTTAGTTCAAGAAATTAACTTTCACAGGAAGCCCAAAGAAAACTGCCAGAGTTAATACTTTATTGAAGCTAGGAAGCCATGTGAGTATTACCTTTGTTTAATATTATTTTTAAATCTCAATTAAAACTGAGACTATTACAGTCACTACTCAGAAGGTTGATATTCAGTTATTATGTCTATGAACTGGATGACCATAAGTGGTTACAGTCCTAGGTATAAATTGACTACATGCAATAAATACCATCAGTTATATACATTTCTAAATATTGAATTATATATTATTTCTACAGTATTATAAGTCAAAAGGTAGACAATAAAAGTCCAAATGAAATAGGAATAAACCTCACAGCAAGAATGATACTTGTATTTCCTCCCTTTTAAATTTAAAATAAGACTGTGCCTAGTCAATTTAAATACTAATTATCTCATGAAGGGGCAGTAAGACCAACTTTGGGTAAAGACTAGAAGATATATCAAAAACAGATAACCTTGGTTTATGTGACCCTCTGAGCCCCTATTTTTTTTCTATTTAAAAACACTTCAGTGAATTTGAAGCTATGAGAAGTCATAAAGATCCTTATTTCACAAATGGAAAAATATCTGAGGCATAGAGAATTGAAATGGCCTCAAGTGGACAAAGCAGGATTTGTGCACCTAGACTCTGCATTTCGCTAGGCTGTCAATAGGATTACCTATGTCCCTAGCAACCCTCAACTGTCCTGTGTACAAGTATCACTGAAAACAACAAAAGAACAGGGCCCCACTTACTTGGTATGTTACGAAGAGGAGGAGGAGGCACATTTTCAATGGCTATCATTTGAGAGAAAATAGCTGCTGAAAGAGAAGATATGGACATCTTGATGAGCCAAAAGCAGCTATCCAGTGGCAATTTGCCAGTTAAGTGAACAGCCGTATCCCGAGAGCATCATAAAGCAGAATCCTCAGTGTCATTTCTGATAGGCTGGGTCCCACAGAATCTTCTTGTTTACAGTTCTGATATGGTGTTTCCAAGATGAAATCTAGAAAGAACTACATATTAGTGCAGTGCAATTTATCAGTGGGGCTGTATGAGCAAAGGGAAATGAGTAGGCGGAATGATGAAGGAAAATGTAATCCATGAGGCAGATTTGACAGGGCCAAAAACACTCTTGAGTCGAAGTTAAATGGAAGAATCCATTGTGTTGCTCTTTAATCCAGAGTGTTTTTCCTTCCCACCATGTTGATGCTGGGAATTTAGTAGCATGGCAACAAGAACAGCACATGTCTACTGTTCTCTGTGACTACACACATAGGGTACAGCACTCTTTCATGATAGACCAGGAAAATCATTTCTGATCCTGTTGGACTGTGGTATTTGTTTTCAGTTATTTTCTACTACTGTCAATTATCAAGGCTAGTTTTACTGTTTCAACTTTAAGGTCCTACCTTAGATATATCTTTCAAAATAATTTACTGGTGCCCTAACTATCTTGTGTTATATATGAAAGGATTGTGTCAATACCTGAGCTAGACTAATAGAGGTAACCATTTATCTACCAACTTCATTTAGATACATTAATAACTAAAATTGGAAGATATGCATGGAGTTCAAAAAGTAACAAATGTATGTTTCTTGAAATAATTCTTACTAAATTGCATTTTCCTAATAAACTTAATCATGAAAAACTTTTCAACCCAACTATTTCTTTTCCTGCCCCTAGTGTTGCAATTCTGGATTCAGGGCAGACTCAAATTTATTGAACCCCATAATTTTTCATCCTACATTTTTTTTGCAACACACTGGCTACACTCAGAATGAAATCTGATCACCCCAACTGTCACCCCTTGGCAATCCTTAATGCCTTTACCTTGATGGGGTATCCAACACAGTTGCCATTCTCACATATGAAACTTCATTAAAGGTAAGTATTATTGAAAATATCCTGCTTTTTCCTAAGTTAGATGGAACTCTATGAAAATGTGTGGGATTTTAACTTTTGACAAGTGATTTTGATCAAATAGATGTAATAAAGAAAGTCTCCTAGGGCCCTAAATTCACACTGATCAATTTCTTTTCTGACATCATCTTCATCAATTATTTTATGTATTTTCTAGTTAGTCTCCCTTTTCCATCCAATACCACCTTTCTTGTATTTCATATATAATGAACATTATACTCTGAAATCTATGTAATATGATAGTAATTTCACATAAAATCAGAACTTTCTTGACAACATTTTAAAAAGGAAGAACTTAAAAAGGCAAGAAAACCAGATCACTTGGAAGGAAGCAGAAATAAACAGAATACTGTATTAATTTTAACTTAGTCTACATAATCTTCATAGGTTTGTGCCTGCAGCTGCTAATGTCTGTTCAGAGAAAGTCTATCAATTCACCATTTCAACTCCTATCAAATATTTTTCATTACTCCTTACAATTTATTCTGAATCATTTTCAAATGTGTTGCAAGAACAATAGCATAATCATATGGCTCATTTTTGAGAGATAGATTTTATTAAATTGATTGTGAATGCCTGGCATGCCTCATAAGTCTGATCAATTCTCAACACTTTATTTTCAAAATCATCTCAGATTACCTTACTCATGTAACAATAACCACTCTGTACAGTATCTTTACAATAAAAAATATATGTAATAATTTAAATATATTTAAATTTTTAATAATTTAAATATATAATCTAATATAATAAAAATCATCTCAGGCAAGTCCCTTAATCTGCCTTAATCATAATAACCTATTCTACACAGTAGTAATAATCATAAAACCTTATACTATTGATCTGAAAATTAAATAAAATAATAGAGACTCAGATCTTATGCACAGCATCTAGATATATGAATTAGAAACTTTCATCTTTATTAGTAACCTTGAAAATCTAAAATGAGTAAGAAAAGAAGTTATTCAAATGTTTTTCTTTCATGTGATTGTTTCTAACATATTTATAAGATGATTTCTTTATTGCTTTGTATGTCCCTCCCCCATAGTATAACTCCTGCTTTCACTGTATTTGATGTTGGTATAATTTGTGGAGGAGAAGAGAAAAACAAATCATTTAAATAGGGGTACAGGTGGACCCATTTCGACAATGAGATGTACAAGTCCTTATGTCCAAAAACGACATAAGGGGGTCGGGATGGGAAGGGAAAACAAAGGAGGAGGCAACAATGCTTGATAAAAAATGTATTCATTACCTTTCCCATGTAATTGTAACCCCCCTATATGGTATTTTCACAATGAAAAAAAAAAGGACAGAAAGAAGGATCTTGTTTTTTTAATCCAACAAGACAGTCTATGTCTCTTAATTGGAGAGTTAAGTCCATTAATGTTGATAGAAAGGACTGAGAGGTATTTGGGAGTTCCTGCCATGTTATCTACCTTCTTGGGGGCTGCGAAAACTGGGTTCTTCCTATGGTTCTTGGATTCTCAGTTTGAGTGCAGTTTCTTGGCCTTTATTGTGGTCTTGTTGGTTTCCTATGTGTAGGACATCTTTAAGAATCTTTTGTAGGGCTGGTTTGGTGGAGATTTATTGTTTCAATTTTTCTTTGCTATGGAAGGTTTTTATTTGGCCTTCAGTTATGAAGGAGAGTTTAGCTGGGTACAGTATTCTTGGTTGATAGTTGTATCAGAAAGAATGACATTGCCCCAATTGTTAGGAAATGGAAAGGCTTGGAAAAAATTATATTAAGTGAAGTAAGCCAAGCCCAAAGATTCCTTTATAGATGATTAATCTTTTCTTCTTGACAGCTTTAAGGATCTTTTCCTTGGTCTGAGTTGATCCTGTGTGGATTATAATGTGACTGTGGCATGTCCTATTCTGGTCTGGTCTATTTGGGGTTCTAAAAGCTTCTTGTATCTGAATAGGCCTGTCTTTTTGCATGTTTGGGAAGTTCTCTGCTAGGATCCTGTTAAACAAATTTCCTAGACCATTAACTTCTGTTTCTAGTTGCTCCTCTACACCCATTATCCTTAGATTAGGCCTTCTGATGGTGTCTTCCAGTGTTGGATAGATCTATCATATTTCTTGGACTTGTCTTGGATGGTTGTATGTTCTTTCTCTATAATATCTAGGCTGCCTTCAATCCCCGAGATTCGATCTTCTGCATGGTCTAACCTGCTGTCAAGACTTTCTACTTTGGGAATTCTATGCCTCAATCAGAAAGAATGACATTGCCCCAATTGTTAGGAAATGGAAAGGCTTGGAAAAAATTATATTAAGTGAAGTAAGCCAAGCCCAAAGAAACATAGGTCCCATGGTTTCCCTTATTTGCAATATCTAGTATATGTATGAGTCAAGCAGAAAAGGTCAGATAATGTGATGTTAGGAAAATGAACCCTTAGATATGTATTTAAAGGTATTTTTCTTTCATGCATTTGTTTCTAACGCATTTATAAGATTATTTCTTTGTTGCTTTGTATGTCCCTCCCCCACAGTATAACCCCTGCTTTCACTATATTTGATGTCGGTATAATTTGTGGAGGAGAAGGGGAAAAACAAGTCATTTAAGGATACAGGTGGACCTGTTGCAACAATGAGAAGTACAAGTTGTCATGTCGAAAACAAACTTTACAACTTTGGTGGGGGGGAGAGGGGCAGGGGGAGGGGATTGGGTGGGGGGTGGGGGGGAGGGATGTGAAGGGTAAACAAAGGAGGAGGCTGCAATGTTTGATAAGAAATGTACTTATTATCTTGCCCAAGTAATTGTAACCCCTCTGTTCAGTATGTTCACAAAAAATAAAAAAAAAGAAATAAAAATAGAAAAAGATGGGAAGTTTTAAAAGAGAACAGAAGTTGGAGGAAAGGCAAAATTATTTAAAGAAGAGTTTATGGAATTTTGCAAAATGCTCAAGAACATCATCGTGAGCATAATAAATCATATACACAGACAAGTATCACACATCCCATCTCATATGTGGAAGCTTTGTTTATTTTAAAAAAGAACAAGATATGAAGAACTATTAAGGTATAAAAAGGGGGAAATAAGAGAGCAAGAGAGGATTGAAAGGAGGGTAGGCCAAAGCATGCTATATGCATGTAGGGAAATATCACAAGGAAACTCATTAATTGGAGCAAGTAAAAATACAAAAGGATATGATGATGATGATAATGATGACAATAATAACATAGCCAATATATATTGAGCATCATTTTTTGCAATGCATTGATTTAAATATTCTGCACAAATATATCCACCACATTCTATGAAGGAGTAACAATTTATTTCTCTTATTTTGTAGATGAGAAAAACTAGGGTACCTAGAGGTAGATAACTTAAGTACCTCATACATGACAAAAGGGGCTTACTTTGAACCTATTCAAGGATCAGAAGGGGCTGGGCCACAAAGAAATTCTTGGGAATAGACTGGGAAAACACAAGACATAGGATGGTTGTTTGCTCTTTTTCCCTTCCTCAAAATAATGAGACTATTTTATCAAAGAACTCTAATAATTTTTTCTCTGTTTGCAGAGAAAAAAACACTATAAAACTTTGTATATATTTTTTATTGTAAAGATACTGTACAGAGGGGTTACAGTTACATGAGTAATGAGTACATATCCTCTCAAGCATTGTTACCCTTCCTTTGTTTTCCCCCTCTCATCCTTTCCCTCCCCACCACCCCGACTCTTCCCTCTCTCCCCCCACCCAAATTTGTAAAGTTCATTTTCAACATACTGTCTGTGCATCTCATAATTACAATGCGTCATCTTGTATCCTTATTTCAGAATTTTGTTATTGCCCTTCCCCTCCCCAAATTAGAAAAATGTATATGCAAGATGCAAGGCACCAGAATCAAATACAGTGAAAACAGGGGTTATACCATGGGGGACAAACATACAGAAGAAACAAAAAATCAGA